ACGTCAATACATTTTTCTGACTAGTAACAGTGACACACAATCAGTTGTAATCGTACACTGACTTTAGCAGAGTCATCATATCAGTAGCATGCCTGTGTGTAACATAGCATGCATTGTAGCACATTGTATGGAGATCTGGAAGTGTAGGTGAGGTCAGTGTCAAGTGCGTGTGGGCAATAAAGACTTAAGCCCCGCCCATTTTACGGCATCTTACAAGGCCTTAAAATCCAGGTGCTTCCTCGTGGGACAAATAAAGTTAGCAAGACATTCTTTGCTAGTGTATCGAGTCCACGCAAAGTTCATTTGTTGAGATAACGAACACTAACTAAACCAACTAATGAGCAAGCTGTTATTGACCGTACTTAACTTGTTGTCTTCTTAAAACAAATGACACTACAAATGACTCTACACTGAGTTCAATATATCAAGAAACTCAAGAGGCACTAAATCTTAGTAGATAGGCTACATCTCTTCATAAACCATGACCACTTGCTTGATTGAATTTAACTCTCGTCTCACACACATAAGGACTCATTATGCCTCTTGAAGTAATCAGATCAGGATCAGGGTTTGTGGACAAAAACTCAGAGCATCTAAGTTTCACAAGGATGGAAAAATTTGGGTTGTTGCCATAGCAATTAACAATTTAAACCAAAATATTATATCTTATGAATGGAGAAAGTCAAATGACAAATATTACTGGAAATGAGACCCGAGAATATACAGTTTTATAACAATCTCAACTCTGACTTCAAAATATATTATGATTGGAAAGCTTGGATTAAAAATTGATGGCACATAAAATTTTCACATTTCCTATTTTAAAGTATGTTAACTCTTATTAACATATTTATTAAAAACATTCGCTATTTACATTTCCTGGACTTAGACTTAAAATTAGTCACTTGAAAAGACTTGTGATTGACACAAATTAATTTATGAATAGTGTGATATGCGTTTCCTCGTTCTGCTGCTCATTTCTCAAGCTCTCTATCCGCAGTAGTTTCCTGTAGTCATGGCTGTGTGGAAAGTCTTTGTTGGATTAGCCACAGAGTCATATTTATTCCAGTCACAGTGAGCTCAGCTGATGATGCTGGTGATGAATGAGTGCATCACCCAGCAAACGACCTGTCCTGACTTTCCTGAACATTTTAGACCAAATAACATTAACACAATAGTAATGTGTAACTCTATTAGAATACAAGTCAACCAGAATGTATAAATAGCTGTCAGTGTTTGCAGTATTATGTCTTTTCCACTAGATGGAGACAGCAATTTGAGAAAGACATGGCTACTTTTGAGCCAAGAAAGGGAGTGAACAGAGGCCAGAAAGCCATTTTTCTCACTGCTTGTGTTAAAGAAGGTTGAACAATACAGTTTTGAATTGGACCATTATGCATAAAGTTGTTAGTTTCCATGGCTACGTGAATCGGTGAATGTATTGTGCCATGAAGCAGGTTTCAATGCAGAGCTTGTTGACTGTCTAAACATTACAAAGTGTCTTGCTAAATAGTGGTAAAGGTGGCATAGACCTATAGAAAGTGTTTGATGGACGACAGCTGCTTTGTGTAGTTACCAGGCAGAAAGTCAATACGTTTACAGCTTTTACAGTGCATAGGCGTCCCTCATTGTGGGTAAGACTTGGCTGTACTTTTTAACAGGTGCTGTATTTGATTAAAACTGTTGCTGTTTAACATTTGGTTAAGGCCAGCTGCCGTGACTACAGCTGTGCATATACTTTGGATGAATCTACTGCACCATGTGTGGCTGTGGGGCCCGGCAAGGGGGGCGTGCATGTTTGTGCGCCTGTGTCATCTCTGCTCTTCTAATTGTCTGCTACATGCACACACATTTAAGACATAAAGACATTTAGGTCAACTGCAAGGAAAATTATTTGTGTTGCCAAATAACAATTCTGAACCAGGATGAGTCATTGCTGCTGTTTTACGATTATTGCCAAAAATGCTGGTTTGGTCTAAGAGATTGTGTAGTATTGTAATTGTAGTTATAGTGGTAAATACAAAAATACAGAATGCATTTAGTGTGTTGGTTACATTTATGTACTAAATACTACAATCTAATGTTTTCAGTCAGTCAGTTTGTCAAATAATAACTATTACAAAGGCGGTGTTACTCACATCAGCTACTTAATATAAAGTTGCTTCGTAATATTTTATCAATTTTACTGCTTACATTGTTGCTCCCAGTGTAATACAAACCCACTGATCTATATAGTCCTTATTCTATAATGTTTAGATTGGATCTACCATGTGGTTTTAGCTACACAGATATTCAAGTACGTGTTTCCAGCAGGTCCATCCTTATCCTAATAGCTATGCCAGGAAGCTTGCTTATTATGACCGCTGCCATGTAAACGAGGCAGTGCTAATTAATTGGTCACATTCAAAGTACATACATGAATAAAGTCCTGATACAGATACCTTCAACACTCACTTTTTTCTCACAGTTAGCCTGTTGGGTCCACACAGACTGAGTCAGGGGTGAGCTGGCAACAAAGCCTTTGTTGTTTTTAGGATGAACTCAGCAGGAAGTTGGGGCTTCCTCTGTCGCAGATGCTGTTGATATTTCAAACTAACACACAGCAAATGATCTCACTCATAGAGTTTATCACTACAGTATCTCACTATCTTAACCATATTTCTACTTCCTAATGTACTAATCTACTTTTCTCATCACAGTTTAAAAATCAGTTCATTCTACGTCTGGCATACTATCTCTGTTTGCGATGCGTGTAACTATGGGATTATAAAAAACTAAGGATAAATATTTGTGCAGTGTTTCATCAATTTAAAAAGAGGTTTGGATATTAGAGACAAAGGATGGGGTAAGATTTAATATGTTACAAAACTTGCAAAAATCGATTTAAATAAATTAACTGCGCAATTGAATTGTTATATCTGCAGGCCTTTAATAACTAAATGTCAGAAACTCACCATCATACCAGAGTGTGATATTGAGTGCTGACATTCACATGGACTTATTAACAGCAACAGCAGCCTGGCATATGCCCCTATGGAAAATCTTCCCTTTGTCCACTCGCCCATTACTCATTTTCCACTGAGCAAACAACTAATTAGTGAATAGATCTGAAGTGTAATAAATCTTATGGTACATTTATGAGAAGGAACTCTGCTGATAGATGTTGTGTTGTAGCGTTGCCTTATTATGTGTCATCCCAGTTAACTGATTACAGTTAAAAATGTAAAATTAATTATTTATATTTATACTTCAATAACAAAAGCTCACAAACCAATGTACTTATGAAAACTGTTTTTGGGTTTGCTCAAACGTAATACTTGTTCAGACTTGTTAGGACAGTGCCCCAGTGTAGTAAAAAAAGATAGCTGTCCAATGTGTTGCATGCTAGTTTCATCTTTCTATTTCTGCATCCATCTCCAGCTTGGATTCTGTATTTAAGTGGCGCATACCCGTGCCAAAGAGCGCAGGAATGTGGCACGCTCGCACTGGGGCAGGATGTCGCATGTGGGTCGAGGGTGCGTCCCCAGCAGGATTCTCCCCATGTCTAAATCTGATCTATTCTCAGCTCTTATTACTGTATCCATGCTGACAAAGTGTTTATAGCAACAGGCTTGAAGTTACAAGACCTCCACTGACCTCTGCTGGGCAAGGTGCAGCAGTGACCACCAGTAATATAAAAATATTATTGCTGCATATCTTATATTTTATTTTTAAATAATCAATATTCTGTAAATACATAAATACCAGGTTTAAGACATACCAGTTTGAACCTGTGAACATCTGTTGAGGTTGAACATCTATAAGGCTGTGCACATGTGACCAATTATTGTTTTAGTTCATTATATTTTTTAACATAAGGGCTATTAATGATATACAGTAAAATGCCCTTTACACTATACTGGGGTACATGTTGGAAAGTAAGTTGTGAATTTAGATTCCACACAGTACAAATATTCTTAAAGCGGCAGTATTAGAATAAATATATAGTTGAAGCTGCTTAATGCTGAGTTTTCAGTAGTTGTAGAAACAGTCCTGTGTTGCAAAGAAAGCATCATGACATGTTGTGTGTGAATAAACTGAATTACTCATAGTAGTTAGTAAAGGAAGAGCAGTAGGTGTTAACAGCAATGTAGCAAAAGTAACTGTCTAAATGTATTATGTTAAGAAAATAGGATGGTTCACTATTAGTTCTTTTCCTGCTTCTTTTATATTACTATGTACTCCCACACACACATCCTTCTTACTTTCTCACAAGTGTGACCAACACCCATGCACCCCCCCAGCCCCCTCGCCCCGAGACACAGAGGCTCATTCACATGCTCATTAAGTCATTAGCCAACTTATTTATTGACGTTTGTCCCCAGTGTGCCACTAAAGTAGGTTTGACGCTCCACTGGCATCACCATATTAGTGCATGTCAAAATTTCCTGTTTTTCTTTCTTCTCAAAGTTATGTTCAAAACTTTAGGCTGTTGGGCACATAATATATGGACTCCTTTTTTTCTTTTTTCAGAGATTTATGTTATCTCAACAACAAGGGTCAAATGCTGTCCTCCCCCTCAAAAGTGCATATCAACATTTGATAGTTTAGGCGTATCCATACTTGCCTGGCCATCCAAAATGACTTCCATCTTGTTCATGCTATTCAGTTGGTTTAACAGGTTAGCTATATCCTAAAACGTACTTTCTAATTAACATATATTCACATGGATATTCACATTTGAGATTATGGGTAAAACTTTAAAGAATAAAATCATATTATATAATGTCTATAGTCTTTGAAGGTACCAATACCTAGTCTTCACATTTGTGAACGTCATGTGATTTAAGCCTTTAAGGAAGTGTGTTTGATCGTCAGCCTGGAAACCCCTCACAGCAGAAGAAGTAGAAAAAAATGACAGAAAAAGAGCATGTGGAAGAGGAAAGGGGGGAGGGAAGAGAGAACGAGAGATAAAGCGGGCGAGTGAGCGAAGAGGGGAGGGGGTGGAGGGGTTGTCAACGCATTCTCATTCCCAGCTCTGGAAGTGTGGAAGGAGGAGGATAGGGCTAGAAAAATACGTTTAAAGAGAAGACTGGAGATCTAGAGATTGGAGAAAAGGGAGCCTCGGATCACTGAGCGTCTAGCAACTGTAGTTTTTTTCTCCTTATCCCCTTCTCTCCTACCCCCTCCATCTCCACTGGACTGGATAGACTCCTAATTTGGGATTTGTTTGAAAGCGGGGACAGCTAACTTTTCCTTGCTTGGGAAAGGGAACTCCCGCTGCTCCCTCTCTCTCTCTCTAGCATTATAAACACTCATATTTTCAAAAACGCCTCTCAAAATGTCTGATTCCTCTGTCAACGCTCACTTGGAAGGGATCATATCAGACTTTGAAGGTTAGTCCATTTGCTTTTTTGCACTTTTGCTCCAGCTAGTTTGTTTTCCATTCTGCTCTTCTACTCTTTAACCCTGTCATGAGGACACAATGGATAGCTTCCACATGTTTTTTATTAAAAAAAAAAAGAAACAAAATATGGAGTAGGTTCACTGACATTTGCAGTGAGCCGTGCTGGTATGGAAAAGGAAACGTACTTGGAGTTTGAAGTTAAGTGTTGAGGACGAACCAGGGCGTATCCAGAGAGGAGTGTGGAACTGATTTAACTACATCATAGAAAGCCATAATGGCGCGTGTGCGTATTGAGCAATCACAAGACAGTCACTGACCAAGAGCAACACCTGGTAAAATTCTCTGTAGATTTAATTTTTTCTTCTTTTTTTTTTTACTTTTTCTTGTCATCTTTCCACAGATTACACTGTCACGTCCTTCCTTCCAACCTTTCCTACCTCCTTTTCCCTCTCTCAACAACTCATCTATCCTCACATCTTCTGTCTTTCTCTGGCCTATGGATGCAAGGGCTTTGGTGGGCGTGGCTTTGTCGTTGTGACATGCCAGGAACCCCCCCACACACCTCCATTTCTGCCTGTCTATCTAACAAACACATAGCCATTAGTTGCACATCTGCACATGTCCAGAGCTGTTCTTCTGTCAACACTACTTTGCCTGTGGTATGTATGGTAAAAACCCTTGCCCTCTCTCTTCCTGTCTTAAGCATTTTTTGTTCAGATCCTGCTTGCTTACTTAAACCAACTTAGCAGAAAGTAAAATTGTGTTAAGAAAGAAGGATCAGACAGAGGAAGCATGCAAAAGCCATGCAGTCATGCTTTTCAACACCACTATATTGAACACAATGGGCTTCTGTTTGTTTTATATGTGAGTATTAGAAGGCCTTTTATTACCACCAGCACATGATGTTGTTCTGTGTGAGACCCAGATACACCAATAGATAAATATGAATACACCAACAGCATAGGCTTGACTTGTTACAGTGATTTAGAAGCAGCCTAACGCCATACCAAAATTATGGTCCAACTAAACTATATAATTAATGTTATAGTAACATACAATACCATAAAACTATATAACTCATGAACGACTTCAAGTTTAGAATTCCAAACTCTTTTTACTGGACCTTAAAAAAATGGTTATAGTCAAATTAAAAGATAAATGCTACAACAGTCCAACCAGCTAAATAGTGGCATTGAGAAAGATTAAAAAAAGATTAAGATACTATTCCTATTTCCTAATAATAACCTATTAAATGTAAACTAATAGTATGCAATACAATTAAAATCTGTCAGTGAGGTAGATTAGACATAATCCTGCAAGTGAAAGATTAAACTGTATGTATAAGCAAATAGTTAAAGCTCCATGCAGGCACTGACATCATGAGTGAGACATAAGTGATGACTTCAGCTGAGACCCCCATGACTGACCATCCACTGTTCACTAAGCGTCACACATCTCCACCCATCTCAAATCAGTCCAAAAAGGTCGATACTGTTCCCCTTTTACTCTGTCTGTGTCTCCCTTTGAGCTGCATGTTAAGGGCATTGACTGGTCCAGAGAGGAAATTCCAAAAGACTAGATTTCTGTGGTGGGTGCAAAAGTCTGGGTAGGCAGTTGGAGAAAGGATCCAAGAGCAGAGAGCTAACTTTTTACAGATCTGCACTTGGCTTGGTCTCCACAGCATTGGCAACAACAACTAACACAAAGCACTGAGTTATGGTTCAGATTTAATGGCAATACGAAAACATGAAGTCACAATTGATTGCATCATTTGCGTGACTATATGATACTAATTTGTTTTGTTTGTGGTGTTTTACTTTAGGCATTTCATTTGGATGTTTTAGTCATGCAATGCTCTTAATATGGTGATATTATGCTGCTTTTATTGTTTTGTTTTTAAGATATAGTAGAACATGCCATTGTTGTAGTAATAGTTGTCACATAAGAACTTAATAGTAGTGCTAAATTCATCATGGACTTTTACGCCTTCTTCTTCATGTAAACTGTTATTACAACCCAGGCCAACTGCCACTTAGCTGTGTGGTTATAGGTTTTTTGTATCTAAGATGATTTTAGTCACTTGATTACAATTTGGTCACTGTTTTTCCTCTGCAATGCTGTTTACAAGAGAGGGTATTATTCTGTTAATTATTTCAACTGGTCTCATGACTGGAATATGTGTGTGCATGAAAGAGGAAAATGGCTGACAATGACCATCCTTATCAGTTATCAGTTTTATCATGCATGCTCATCTCACCAGCTCTGACGGGTTCCTCCAAATAACGTCAACAGCATGTGGGTTGATGGGAAACTTCAGGGTCAATCGAAGGGTCATCATCACATAGTTAGCTCGAATGAAGAAGACATACTATTCAGCAGAGACAATCATTTTCTTTAAGACTGATGCCAACATTGAATATAAAAGTTCAGAGACAAGGACAAAGTTTTGGAACCAATATTTAAGATCAATTACATATAGCCCATTACATGATATAAAACTTCTATTAACGCTGTCAAATCAGTGCACTGTCCTAAATCTGTACTGTTTTGGTAGTAATTTCAAAGCAGATTCAGCTGTGTAACCAGTTTTAGGGCAATTGAAGTACTGCATCCCATTCTTATTGATTGAACCACTTGTTGCAGATGAAATATCCAAAAAGCATGATGTATATCCTCTAGTCAGATTATCAGCATGGTCATAATATTAGCCTAAATTTTGAATCATTTGGCACATTCATGTATATTAAGCAATATCGTATCTGAAAACTATATTAAAGGAATTATCTGCGGGGAAAAAAACAAAAACGTGGCTACAGTAGAGTAACACTATTTGATTTGTAAATACAACATGGTGATGCAACTTAATGTAACCAAATGTAACTTCAGCCACAAGGGGGCAGTAATAGAGTAGGCAGCGTAGAACTATAATAAAATAAAATCAAGTTTTTATTATAGATCCATGGTAGCAGAGATAAAAGATCTGTGTACTGTACAAAATATTGTATAGTAATACCACATTGCCACCGTTTAATGTCTTACTTTGATCAAAAAATCAGTGTGATTCTCTTCACTTTCCCTGGGCCTACATTAAATAAAGGCAGAGCAGAATCATGTTATTGATTATTTGTCTCTTTACACTGTTTCGTGTACACTCAAGAATGATACACACAAACCAACGTGGAAGATCCATACTGTGCAGTGTCCACTTTACGTCCATGTGGAAATAAATCTTGTATGTGGATATTAATCCTCCAGAGGGATGAATGGCCATTTCATCTGGAAAGAGCGTCTCCAAATTGTCTAGACTACAATGAAAGCGGAAGAGGCTTTCTGTTGTAATTAATAGGATGCACGTTGGTCTATCGCCAAATATCAAGTTTATCATTCATCCTCACCGTCGACCATTAGCGCATATGACGGTGAAGAGAGTGTTACGCCATGACATACAACGAAATTCTTAAAAGATATTAGTTTGTTTAGTCGTAAATATCGTAAATGAAATAACAATTTTCCGTATACCATGGTACTTACTTGTAACCAACTCTCGCGATATTTGCTCGGCACTGGGCGGCGCTACAACACCAGGTGCGCCAAACTAAAATCATTGTGGAGTTGACTGTTCACAACTTGTTTCCTAGCGATTTTATTTAATCTTCTATTATAGCAATTCAACGTCTTTTAGTACGTGCGTAATCTGATTTTAGTACGTGTTAAGATAATTCATCAAGTGGTTTAAAGCAACATGCTGTCAACTTACATTAAGCGTGTTAAATCCGGTAAGATATTTATGCTTGTAGGCCTCCTTGTCCAGGGTCTTGGCCTCTCTCTCACAAATACATTGAATTTGTTTCCCTTGCATCTTGTTGGAATAATCCACAAAATAACATTGTTGTGATTTGGATTTTGTATGCTTGCAGTTTTGATTGTTTATATGCGCCATACCACAATAATAATTGAACCATGTCACACACATCATCACAGATCTTATCAAGGGGCCGCTCTGCCTTTAACTCTGGCTGTAAAGTTGATTTTAGACTTTGAGTAGTTAAATAATCTAAAATGTTTGAGCCTACAATAGTCATTCATCAACTACAGTTTGTTCCAATCACTTGTGTTTTGTGTGTTTCAGCACTAAAGCGGTCATTTGAGGTGGAGGAGAGTGATTCTTCACACAGCACTTCCCTTATTCGGCGGTCTTCAAATCCTGTCCGCTCCTCTTCCTCCTCCTCCACATCCAGCCAACGGAGCTACGACACAGCATCTCGAAACTCAGATTACTCCAACAGATCATCTCCTTCTGAGTCCTCCAATCTGCGCTCTCCAAAAACAGGCATGAAGCGCATGGAGTTTACTGGTGGTCGCAACCATGACACAGTCTCCTCTAGACGCACAGAGATGTCCATTGAAGTCTCCTCCAAACAGATTGACAACTCACCCAGTGCTGGCATAGCGCGCTTTGGGCTTAAGCGGCCGGAGGTGAGCCTGAGTAGTCGGATTAACCCTGCGGACAGTTCCCTTTCCAACTCTTCGTCCAGGAGGGGTGACATAAACGCAACACGGCCTCAGGAGCCCCCTGCACCACCCAGAAGGATGGACTCACACTTGTCTTCTGGTGCCCCTTCAAGGATCCCTCGTGCAGAGTCCCAGAGCCCTGTGGTCAGTCCAGTGGAGACCTCCTTCAAAAGGCCAGAGCTGCCCGTCTTCAAACAGAGTGATGATGTGTTAGAGAACAACAACAACAACCACCACCCTCCTGCCCCCACTGTTCCACTGCCCTCTCTGGTCGACTCTCGAGGAGACAGGGTACATTCACCTGTCTCTGAGCCACCGCCTGTCAGATCCATTGAAAGTAAGTAAGCTCCATATTTTTCTGGGTAGTTTGATAATCTTCATCCGATTATGTTTTTTAATAATTGCCTGCATGGCATGCTTTATTGTTCATGCAAAAATCTTCCAGAAATGAGATTGTTAGTAATTTTTTAAATTTATTTGGATGAGGAGGTGATGATAAAAATCCCAGACACTGAAAGTGCACTTGGGATGGTGCAATCAGACTGAATGCTAAGAACTCCTATGTCACAAATGCAGGCACAAGTAAATTACATGTGGGCCACAGTTATTTTATGTCTTAAAAATAGCCAGTTATGCCTCTAAAGCGTAGCCTTCCCATTTAATGGTAGTTTGCTTAGCACCACCAACAAATTAACCATTGTTCCACATTCATCCCTACTTATAGAGGACATAGTACAGTGTGAGCTAAGCCTGCAAAAAGAGCTGACAAAAGTCCATTATTATCCATGTACACTAAAATAAAGGTTTTAATATTTCAAGCAGGATCAGACTTGCAGTATTTGTGATTTGCTACTTGTGACCCTTCAAATTGTAGTTTGAAATTGCACATTTCTAATATGATTTGCAATTAGATCTGGGAGTCCTACCATACACTAATTGAAGTGATGATATTATATGCATTTGTGTCTCTGCTGTCAGACCACAGCTGTGCTCATGGCCCGCCCTGAGCAGAAGCTTGGCGTAGGCGTTTGGGACTGGATACATTCCTTATCTGTAGGTCAAAAACATTTAACATAAATAGAAATTCCTCAAGTTTTCACTTTGTGCTCACTCTCTACCTTAACTATGGCCTTAAAACGTGAAGCACTTCTGTTTTAAACATTTAGTGAATGATCTTGGTAAAACTGTGTGATGTGCAACGCAACTTTTGGATGGATTCCAGGATTTTAGTGTGTTACTTAGAGCTCAAATTACAACTTCCGCACTGCTGCTGACATCTGCTCGTGTGTATCTGCGGGGTGGAGGGGCATGCAACAAAAAGCTTCTAGTGGGTGCAGAGTGATCACTGAAGCCAAATCGAACAGAATAATAACCCAAGCAGGCAAACAAAGAAGAGGGATTTCCTGTAAATGTTGCCATCAGTTTTCACTAAAATTGAACAGTCTTTCTGAATTCAAATCAAGAATTGTTACTTAAATTCTGGTTCTTTCTTAGTCTGAGATTCTGGCTTTTTGAAGTGCTGTTATGAGTCTTTAGTGTACACTGTTGCTGCATTATGGTTTCATGTGTCCAAAGGCAAATGACTGGGTAGAATGAGGGGGTAGTGGCGCAGTAACAAGCGATATGCGGCTTTTATTGAGTCTCTATGTAGGTGATGTAATGTCAAGTCTGGTTGTGGTTTCATATTTTACTGAACAGCTGTGTCTGCTCCTATAATAAAGACACTCATGCAACCTTCTTTGTCTGGGGTTTTTGTTTAGTTGTTTATTATTTAATTAGCAATTGTACTTATATTCCTGCTTAAAACAAGCCATCTAGTTTTTGACTCTTAGGACTGACACATATAATATGGTCTTGTGCTACGTGCAGTTTACTGTCTTAGTTTGAACACATTAAAAATGCTCATTCCTTTGAAGCCCACTGAAAGCCCTTTTCATTGAACTTGGCGTGATAAGTTTGTGCATGTCATAAGGGAAGGAGATGTTCCCACTGATGACTTTCATATGTATCAAAACCATTCCCAACTTCAGCTGGAAATCAACTCAAAAGTCATTTTGTTCTGTAAGAGAAAGATCAACTTTTTTAAATTTTCTATTTACAATTAATTACATTATTTTAAACCAACACACTACACAACACTGTATTTTTTTCATAGATAGTTTACACACAAGTAACACATTTTTCATATGCATTTAAAAATATTACCTGGCCTTAAAAACAAATTTTAATTTACATTATTGTCCTGCCTCAATGCTGTTTATTTCCCAGTAGTTCAATCAACACCAGGCTGGAGTACATGCTATTGCCCTGTAATCCCTGAGGATGAATCGTGCTTGAACACCTGGAGCTACTATCATACTGGAATAATACTCATAAGTGTTGTAGTCTCCTGAGTCTGGGCCTTGTGTGAAGTTTGTCACCCATTGCCATTTCCACCATTTGTACTCTGCTGTGTCTCTGTATTCAGAATCATAAAACCCAACCCAGGACTTTTCAAATTCAGATCTCCACCGTCTGAATGACTTCTTCACAAATAGTCGGGCACAAGCTTTACCATCCTTTACAAAGAGCTTTAGGTAAGCATCATAGCCTGCGATCACAACTAGATCTGGACTTTTAAATGCTGGTCCTCTACAAATTTCTTCTCGTACTTTAGTCCAGAACAAACACTGTCTCTCTGCTCTGTGCAGCCGGACCTGTAGCCCCTCATTGAGTGGCACAGAGGTGTCATAACTCCCCTCGCTATGCTTGATAAGTTTGTATGTGCTACTGGCCTCCTGGTCTTTCTCATGCTTAAAAAGCACTACAGCAACGCCCTCCTTCAGCCGTGGTCCAGAAACATTTCTCCAAACAATTGTGGCTTTTCCATTTTTCCCTGTTACTACGTCAAGGAGCACCTGATTCCTCTGCTCTGAATGATTATTGTACATCAAATAATTAATCTCATCTGGTATGTCAACCACATAATCTGCCTGTGTGTTTCTCCTGGCTGTACTCTGTGGACGGTTTGTGGTTGGTCTCTTTTTAGAGTGTTTTTCCTCTATCACAATAAACAGGAGAAGACCAAGACAAGCCAACGAGTTACCCCAAATGTTCTTTAGGTCCCACAACTGTGAGTCTTGAGCGTCACTGTCAAACATGTCTCTGAGCTCCCTCAGAGTCCTGGGATTGTGCTCCACTGAAAACAGTCTCATCTCGTGCAGCAGGGTGGTGGAGATGTGGTAGGTGAGCTCTGGGTTGTACCTTGTGCCCTGATGTTCATGTTGTCTGTAATGTTGTGTGAGATATACTCGGTCGATCCTGGAAGGCCTGGAGCTTCTTTCCTGAACTCTAAAAATGATGCGGTCCATGTTGTTTCCAACGTACTCTCTGACCGGGGGCTGAAGAACATATGTTGGAAGGCTACGGGATGTGTCTTCATGTAGATTGCCCACAGTGTAGTACCGATATCCCCGGGGCAGGGGGTCCAGCATGTCTTCATAGTTGCCATAGTGATGAGAACCAAAATCCTCTTTATCTGGGTCAAATGTTAAAAGTAAAACATCATTATTGTCTATGTCAATAATGTTTGCAAACCAGTGTAGCAGCAGGAGACTGTGTTTGGGCACAGATCGTCCAAAATCTAATTTCTTCAGGTCATTCAGAGATTTCAGCTTTGGGTAAGCCGATTCACAGCTCAGCACAAGTGCAAGTAGACAGATGTAGATGAGAATGGACGTCATTTTTCTGTGGACAAAAGCAAATGGTACTACTCAGAGGTCATAATGTACACAAGCGGCATGCTTATATTAAATATTAATTGAAATTTAATTGAGAAAAATGACATTTTTCTCGATTTATTCTACTCAACTTAGGGGATCATAGTTGCCAGAGCAGGAAAATCTTTGTTTTCCATTTATAATAAGTTGAAGTAGTAGAAGTATAATTTTTAACACGACACAAGATTGGGACTTTGACATATTTTATTATAACATAAAATAAGATAATGTTTAGTGTCCCAAAGGGGAAACTTGTCTTGGGCTCACTGCCAACAGCTTAAAAACAGTTACTCACACATCATATTAGTCACACTACAGTCAGACAACAGTCAGAGCTTATTATTTATGTCCTTTGGCCATTTATGCACTGCAAAACCATAAGTAGTTTTTTAGGTTCAGTTCACAATTTTTGCTCCACCATTTTTATTTACATTGTGTAATATTAATGCTGCCATTGTAGCAATGCTTTTCAGGGTACAAGCTTGTGCACAATCATGTGTCACCAGATATTTTGGCATGAGTTTCTTTCCCATCCCTACTCAAAAATCTTGAGTCTTAATACCATTGTTAGTATGATTATTTAGATATATAGATATATATATAGATAGATAGATATATAGATAGATAGATAGATAGATAGATAGATAGATAGATAGATAGATAGATAGATAGATAGGTATAGATAGGTATAGATGGATAGATAGATAGATATAGATAAATATATAGAAATTGGCATATAGTCTTAGTTTGTATAAAAAGGAGAATAACATTTGATGTTGATCGGTTTATTCAGTTTAATTCTTCTGAAATGTTACAACATACTGCCTTTAGTTAATCATTAAACCATTTAACATATTGTTACCACTGTAGCTACTTATAACTGATCACTCTGATGTAGTTCCCTGATAAAATACTACATAAAGTTTACAGTGGGTTGGGTTGTATAGAAGATTATAAAAGCGCTCACCTGTCTGACTGATGAAGCTTCATGGTGATTCTTTGTGAGCTGCTCTGTGTCTAAAGACTTGACTCGGTCTCTGTTAGGTTTCTGTTTACCAGGAAATGAAGCTCATTGAGGAGGTGTGTCTTATTTAGAAGTGTAAGTGCATCCATGCTGTTCATGAGACTTTGGTTCAACATATTAAATATGTAACTGTTAATTCTATTAACTGTACACTTTAAAGCAAAAATACAAAACAATAGTTTATAAGCTTGGTCTCCTACAAGAAAATCTTCATCTGATATAAAGTCAAAAGGCTTACTCACTTAAGGAAAAAAGTCAGTAGGTTTCATTTATTTAATCACAGTAGTTTTATTTATATAACATGTGTTTTGAAGGTCGGCATTTTAATATCCTGCAGTACAGAAGATATAAAGCATTCAAGGGCATTAGTGTTGACATCTAAACTTATATACACATCCTAAATATACAAATACTTTCAAAAAGGATCTGGATTTCATAACATATTAACATAGAGCAATGATAATCCAACATAGTGTGTAAGAATGCAAATGATGGATTTCATAACGTATTATTCATGTTTTTAATAATTGTGGCCAATCATAAAGTGAAGTTTCTCTTTACAATAACTAACCAACTATGCTTTTAAATGGCTTAATACAATATATTAATGGGGATTAAGCTTAATTGCTCTAAAGAAAAGGGACCTTTGGAAGTTGTTGGCCCTGCCCCCCACTAAATAAACAATATGTGATTTTAAACCAGAACACAAAATATACGAGGAAGCAAACTCTTCCTCCTTGTGTGCCTTTAGGCTTCCTGTGTTGCATCAAGATTAGTTTAGAAATTTAGTTGAAATGTTGCCAATTTGGGGTGCGTGCAATCTCTATGGTGTCCTTCAGTATAAATCGCACATGGACACCCGGATTAGCCTGCAGGCCTGAACAATACTCAAAGATCAGATACTCCCACCAACTGCCAGGGCATTGATTGACCTCCGTTGCCCATTGCCACTCATCATATTTAAGAGTGCCTATATTGACTGACTTGTAAAACCCTATCCAGGATTTTTTAAACTCAGATCTCCAGTGCCAGAAAGATTTACTTACATATAGGCGAGCACAGGCTTTACTATTTTGCACAAAGAACTGTAGATGTGCATTGTAGCCTGCGATTTCAACTCCATCTGGGCTTTGAAAACCTGGAGTATGTGCTATCTCTCTCATGTGCTTGAGTATAAATCGAGCTTGGACACCTGTTGCAGCTTTCATACGTGAACAGTACTCCAAACAGTATCCATTGTTATCATCATAGTCAGAGCATGACATGAACTTAGTCACCCATTGCCACTGCCCCCATACATACTCAGACGTGTCTTTTTCAACAGATTCATAAAACCCAACCCAGGACTGTTCAAATTCAGATCTCCACAGTCTGAAATGCTGCCCCACATAGAGGCGAGCACAGGCTTTATGCTGCTTTGCCATAATCTCTAGATGTGCATCGTAATTTGGGATTTGAACTCTGCTTGGGTGGGATTGTTGGCAAGCCTCTTCACCTTTGTGAAAAGAGAGAAAGATAAAGAACACTGCACACATGACTATCAACATAAATAAATAAATACATGTATATCTTTTAACATGTGTGTCAATGGCATCTTGCTCCCTGTTCTGCACACCATCCTGGGTATTGGAGCTGTCAGTCATCCCTTCATTCATGCCTGTTAACATACAGTTATCTCTTCTCTGGTTTCTGTAGTCCTTGTCAGTCAGTGCTTCTTCTTGATGCCATTCATTTTTGCCTGTTAAATTGCTGTCATTGTTGCCATTGTTGCCATTGTTGCCATTGTTGTCATTTGATATATTTGATACATTTGATACAGAGGGTGCTTGTGCCAACTTGTCACCACCCTCCTCAGGTTTAAGATCATTTTGTTCTGATTGCACCTGTTGAGGTCTCATATTTACGCTGTACTTATCCTGTATCACAATGCATAGCAATAGGCCCAAACAAATCAGCTCCTTTCCCCACATGTCGGACACCTCCCACAACTGTGAGTCTTGAGGGTCTCTGCACTCCCAGTGAATCCTGCTGTTGTCTAGTGAAAACCGTCTCATCTCGTGCAGCAGGGTGGTGGAGATGTGGTAGGTGAGCTCTGGGTTGTACCTTGTGCCCTGATGTTCATGTTGTCTGTAATGCTGTGTGAGATACACTCGGTCAATCCTGGAAGGCCTGGGAACTTCTTTTCTGAACTCTAAAAATGATGCGGTCCATGTTGTTTCCCACGTACTCTCTGACCGGGGGCTGAAGAACATATGTTGGAAGGCTACGGGATGTGTCTTCATGTAGATTGCCCACAGTGTAGTACCGATATCCCTGGGGCAGGGGTCCAGCATGTCTTCATAGTTGCCATAGTGATGAGAACCAAAATCCTCTTTATCTGGGTCAAATGTCAAAAGTAAAATATCATTGTTGTCAATGTCAATGTTAATGATGTTTGCAAACCAGTGTAGCAGCAGGAGACTGTGTTTGGGCACAGATCGTCCAAAATCTATTTTCTTCAGTTCATTCAGAGATTTCAGCTTTGGGTAAGCCGATTCACAGCTCAGCACAAGTGCAAGTAGACAGAAGATTGGGATTCCACTCGACCACTTAGGTTTTCTGTGTGAATAAATACATTATAACTTAATACATGTGACAGGAAAGATGCACTGGCTTATTTTCTCAGTGTTTTTACTTACTTTGTCATGATGTTCTGATTTACTTAACAAGTCTATAGCAACAATCAACCAGTCTCTCCTCTAAACCCTGTTCATTTGCATCTGTGGTTTGATGTGAGACTTTAAAGGAAATAAAACTAGAAAGTCTTGTCAATCAGGAAGCATGACAACACGTTTAACATTGTGTTACAATGCTTAGTTTGTTTATGATAAAACGTCCCTTTTTTTGCATCACTTACCTGTTGTGCAATACATTGGAGTGGTTTGGTTCTTTGGTTGTTTTAAATGTGCTTTAAACTAAACACTTTTTTTAACATATATGATCGGGGCTATGAATGAAGCACAGACAGGCATTTTACTCATGAAATATATTAGGTTTTTAATGTCATTCATTTACACATTTTAATGAAGTAGAAGCAATCAATCCAACATCAGAACCATTTTTTATTGTACAACACAAAATCATGTATGTTTGTATCCAAACAAAGTATTGTAAAAAGAGCAAGCATGGTCTTTTTTTAAGATTTAAAACAATCTGGCAGAGGCTAGCAGAAAAGATGTTCCTGAGCATATTTGTTGTAAATGTAAAGATGGTTGGCTCCAGCTCGGCTCCAGTCTTTACAGGGTTTCCTCATTACATGTCTCTAAGCACCACACCTCCTGGGCCGTTATTTCTGCTCTAATAATTATCACTGAATGCCCATATTGCATACTGATTAGGAAAAAATATATATATTATAGTACATTCATGTTTTATTTACATTTTTCTACTCAAACCATTTATCAAATATGGATACATGACAGTATATATTACCTTATTTTATAGCGGAAAGAAAGCTTATAATGAAGATAACTGCCAAGAAAAGAATTGTGAACACAAAACAAGAGGACCAATCACTACCATTTCCTGTTTGTGTGACTCTACTTTGGAGTGTACTGCTGACAAATGTGTCTGATGGCGAAGATCTGATGTTCCGTAGTAGGCTGGTGGATATTTCGTAGGTGTGAGTTCGATCGTAGTTTGGTGCTAACAGTCTGTCATGCTGTGTGAGAAACACTCTATGTATCCTGTAGTTGTTGTTGACCCTCTGAGCACTGAATACAATGCGGACCCGGTTTTCTCCATCATTGTCCCTTTGTGGGGGCTGGCGGACATAATGTGGAAAGTCTTGGTTAAGATTGCCCACTGTATAGTATGCATACCCCCTAGGTGGTGGGTCCAGCAAGTGTTCAAAGTTGCCATAGTGATGAGAACCAAAATCTTCTGTTGGATTAAAGGTCAGTGTAGCCTGACCATACTGATCAAAGTTAATTTGGGTTGCGAACCAGTGCAGCAGCAGGCGGCTTTGTCTGGGCACAAATCCTCCAAAAATGACAGTCATCAGGTCATTCATTGAATTGAGCTGTTGATGAGCTGATTCACAGATCGGTGTGAATGCTGCCAGTACACACAGGATTATGACTCCATGAGAAATCTTCATTTTTCTGTAGTAAAAGCAAATTAAGCACTTTAAAAATGTTGGGCTTGGCAGTATTGAGTTTAATCTACATTAGTTTACATAGACAATAAGCTGAAAAAAGCAGAGATGTTCCACACTGCACAGGAGCTAAACATGTCAGTAACTTTGCTAAATTAAGGGTTTTTTAGCAACAACAAAGAAAGAAGATATACACTGAAATAAAAACATAAGACTGTAAAGTGCTGTCACAGCTTCAGTAAAGGCAATGTTAACAGTTGTATCTTTGGAATAATATTACATTAATTTTTAATTTAATAATTAATATAATATTATTACATAAATTATTAAATTAGGAATTATTAGTAGTAGTATTAGTATTATTAGTATTATATAATAATTTATTATATAACCAAATAAAATTAAAAACCTAAACTATGGCATATTTGATTTCAATCAATTTGAATCAAGTTTGTAAGCTTCATTACTTAAAGAACTTTGTACATCTTTGACTAGTTTGGTATAATGTATTATGCTTGTAATCAACACAATGTTAGATTTAATTCTGAAGTGAGATTAATTTGCAGAAAAAGTACAATAGATAATTTAATTAAAAGTGGACTCACCTGTTTGTTTGGCTGCAGCGATGGTATGTGCTTTGTTTCTGAAGACTGGTATCTGTTTGTCTTCAGTTGCAGTTTCCCCGGAAATCTTAACTCTTCACTGAAGTTGAATCTGAAAGTATTGCTTGTGCAAATAAAAAAAACATTATTGTATTTATTACATCATTGTACACCGGAGCTGAACAATTTAGAAAAAATAACTAATGACACTTTTTCTAACCAATGTTATTGTTATGATTAGTGTGATTTTGATTTGATTTGATTTTTGTGACTTTTTTAAATGATTTCCTTTCACAGTGCATCTAAGTTTTCTACCAGTAGGTGGTGCTAACATATTGCACTTGGGCATATATAATTTAAAGACGCCTTCTCTGGTTAGTATTTGTGTAGTAATTGTGTTGTGTTGTGTTGTGTATCAACATGGTATGATAAATCTGAGATTTAGGTTTAGAAAGTGTAATGCATGAATACTGAGATTTTTACAGAAATGATGCTAAAGAGATACCACTTGAGAACATCATGGAAAATATTTATAACACTGAAAAATATTAATTTATTAATTTATTAATTCTGCGCGTGTGTCATTTAAAGGTAATTATTAGGCCTATTGTTTTGTCTAACTCATAAAAGCTTTTCTCTCAGCAGATGCTGATGGCATGATTTGATGATAAGTTTGATGAGTTTGTTATATAGTTCATAAAACAAGTATTTGATTACCAATAGTAGAAATTAACGATAATTGTTTCAGCCCTAGTCTTAAATGCACTTATAAAGTTACAGTGTCAGAGTACGGGTGAGTTTAATCTTCAGTCTGTTCCGGCCAGATCTCTCTAAGCAGCAGAATGCAGTGTCCACATCCTCCACAACAAAAAGTGAAGTCTCCTTTTGAGGAATGCAGGTGCTGTGCTAAGTGTGTGCGGCATGTGGCTGAGGTGGCACTCGCCTCTGCACTCGTGTGTAATTACACAGCTGTTTCCTCTGCTCTGTAATCACACATGGGCTATACTGGGCCCACAACCATAGTACTCTCTGAAAGTAATGGACTTTAAAACATAAAAACATCCGACGTATAACCTTTTAATGGTTTAATCACATATGCAAAAGTCAAATAAGACATAGGGGCTATTGTCATTGTAAAAAAGTGAAACAAACAAATGCCACAGGGCAGAGGGGTTTTTGGAATTAAGAGGATGTGACTACAGAGCTGATGAGTCACTACAGTGTCTATAAACTACTGCCCCACGGACCTGCAGCATTCACCAGATATGAAAACTATTGTTCCCTTATGCTGACATTTTGTGGTCCATGTTGAAAAGGCATGTTTTGAAGTGGGCGTGTCCATCTGGTGTCACATGACTTGATAGAGTGGGAGGGGCCGGCAGGGGGCTTCAGAGCCACAGCAGAGTTTGGCCTCTCTGGATCGACTCTACAGCGGGACAGCTCACACACACTCAACTCACGGTGAGTTTTGGTTTTCTCTGACAGAAAAACAAGTGAAGGCAAATGTTTGTTTCCAGGAGGGGCCAGAATCATGTCTGTTCTTCTAGTATCTCTATAATGTGAATGTGCGCCTGATGGAGGAGCTTTAGTTTTAAGAATTTGGCTTTATTTGTATCTGTGCCCTGCACTCTTACAGCTGTTTCAGGTGTCCTGCAAAAACAGATTGTCCTTAGCTGTCTTTATTTCCCTTATTTAGGTGAAGTAATTTGGACTTTATTTTCTCTCTGTTTGAGTCAGGTTGAACAACCAGTACACTGCAAATTATTTAGTTTTCTTTAAGCTTTTATGTCTCTTCAATTGCATATGATTGCATGTACCAGACAAAGATATAAGATTTTGATGAATCGGCAGAATTCACTTACAACAAGTGTGTACAACTAAGGAAATATTTCAAGTAAAAATATATGGCTAAACATGGACAGAATGTAAAAATGAGCTTAGTCATGAACCTAAATGTAGTTCTAATAAAATTGTCATATGTGATTTTACACTTACTAAATTTAACTCTTTAACTTTAGAATCTTGAGTTTGATCAGACGAGGTATAAAATAACAGTCAAAAGAAAATATAATTTAGTTTCGAAGAAATATATATATTTTTATATCATTGTGTTCTCAATCTGTAGTATTGCGCCTTCTTCTATTAGTCTGTTCTCTTCTTTAGTATCGGAAGTTTGACATTTCAGTATCATGACGACAATAATGTGCAGCAGTCTTCACCTTAGGCCTGAGTGGGCTCTGGTCCTGCTCACACTGACACAGCGCTCTGTTGAAAGGATCTCTGTTTGGCCCCTGAGCTTTGGAGAGACAGAACAGACAGCAGCCTTTCTGCACCGCTCCACGGGACTCTGAAAAGGTCATCACTACCTCCCTATCCATGTGTGGCATTTGCGCGTCCGGAAGTTGGCACAGATTGATAGGGAAAATATGCTATGAATACAATTTAATCCCTTCAGATTATCAGATGGATCTTTTTCCCCTTTTTTAGTAAATTTTTATATAAACATTTGAAAGTTGACGTATGCCTATAGATTAAAGAGAAGAGAAAAAATGACAGTTGTGGAGTGGCACTAAAGTCTAGTTAGTTGCAGGACCAACTAATCCTACAGGCCGTGTGATGTTTTCAGTTGACATACTTTTTTGTTGAACCATATATATTTGAAATACTCGTAGCAAGGAGATCATTATTGTATTCAGGAGATTTAAGTTAACCAGATCAATGAACAACTCTTATATCCACACAGATGAGTGGGGGATATAAAGCTATGTGCAAATAGTTTATCAATGTTTCCTCAGAGTGGAACTTGAGGCAGAAGGTAACATAAGCAATGGTTCAATCTCTAGAAAGATGAGCTTGTTTTGTGCTTCACGAGTAACTCTGACTTAAGTGCATTCCTTTGGCGAGTGCATCATTACCACTGTGCTGTCATTACTGTAGTTTACATTTTGAGCTGACCGACAAAATACAGGATAACCAGAATACAGGACAACCAGAATCAAGTTGTGTGACATAGACAGGTCGCAGGTGACGAGATGAGCATTTAAGGTCTTGCAAAAGGTCAAAGGGCACATTGCTGTGGACTCTGGGAAG